TTAATTCTTTTCAATTCACTTTTTTATTTTTAAAAGTAATTTTTAAATTTTTTTCAATAAAAATTTAAATTTATTATTTATAAATAATACAAAAAAAATAAAAACTCTAACAAATTGCATTAAACAAGCCATAAATATGTGTTGTGGACCGAAGGAAAATAATTAAATAGATTATCATGCACAAGATACCTACTACCATCCACGGTTGAATATTAATTAATTAATAAATATTGTTTTATTAATTAATTTTAAAATTTAAATTTAAAAATTAATAACAACAAATTAATTTTTTTATTATACAGCTAACACGTAGGTGTCTCTTAAGATTGTTTGAATAAGCATTCATTTTAAATTTTAAATTACGTAAAAATTAATTTAAAAATATTTTAACCATTCAACCTATTAAAAAAAGACGCCGACTACCTGCCAAGCAATTACGGCAAAAAAAGAAAAAAATTGAAAACTACGTGCCAAGCATAAGGCTTCAGTTGTGCCCACAAGAAAGATCGTTGACGCCACTAATATTTTATTTTTTGTTTTGTTAAATTACATTTTATCCATATCTTTATCTTTTCAACTTTGCTCTCGTATTTTTTTGTCTTCTCTTAAATAGGTAAAAAATAATAATTTTACAAAATAAAAAATAAAATATTAATTAGTGGTCCAAACAGCTTCCTTGGTAGTTGTAATTGGGGCCTATGGATGCATTCAGTTAGATGCAGATGTCATGATTACATAATTTACATTAAGATTAATATAACACTTACTTTAAATTTATTGATAAATAAATATTACTTTAAATATTAAATTTTGTAATTCAAATTTTAGAGTTAATATTTAAAGAAATTAATTTTTTTCAAATGTATTATATTAAAATAAAAATATACTCTTAAAACTACTTAAAAAATAATTAGTCTTAAATTACAAGAAGAAAAAAAACTAACTCAGAGACACCGAACCTAAAAGAAAAAGTTTGATATTGCCATAAATAAAGGAAAAAAAGAACAAAACATCCATTTCTTTCTTTTTCTTCTCTTTTTTGGTGGTGGGGGTGAAAATGGGATAACATTAATTTAATAAAAAATTATAGTCTATATTTATAATATATTTAGATTGAAGGAAATGGAGAGAAGGGGAGGGGAAGGGGAAAAAATTATTTATTTAGTTATTAAAAAAATTATAGGGGAATGGGGTGAAAATTTTCTTTACTTCATTTTTTTAGGTTAAATCTTTGATTTGGTCTCTGAACTATTGTATGGACCCTAATTTGGCCCCTAAAGTAAAAAAAATCTTGATTTAGTCCCTATTGTTTACTAATTTAGCCCCAAGTTAGTCCTTTCAGACAAAAACAAATGACATATCTCATAATTAACGTGACATGTTGCCATTAAGTAATGGTTTCATGCATTTAAGTAACAACCATGTCAATTATTTTTTAACGGAAGGACCGATTTGAGACCAAATTGATAAATAGTAAGGATCAAATTAAAGATTTTCTAAGTTTAGGAATCAAATTAGGGATTTAACATTTTTTAATTTAGTTATTTATCTAAATAGGGGGAGGGGAAAGGGGGGGAATGGAAGGATATAATTCCCTTGCCCTCCCTTCTCGAAATTCAACCCCAACCACATTAGCCAAAAGAAAGACATTCATGCTATGGGTAAAAACATGCATTTAGCTCTTAATTTATTAAGTTTGAAGTTTTTAACTCCTTATCTTACAATAGAGTTTTTAACCCATGAACTTAAAAGTTTAAGATTTTAGCTTTTAACCCAACAAAATGGGTTAACTCTTCATTAAAGTGAGAAATAAAAATTTTATAAGACTAATTCTCAAAGATTGAAAAGGTAACAGTTTAGTCCCATAAGTTTAACAATTAAAAAAATTAGCAAACTAAAAAGAATTAATAGATGACTTTCCTACATACACGAAAACA